CCCCCCCCCCCCCCCCGGAACCCCTCGGTACAAGATGGCCGCCCGTACCGGTAAGCTCTAAGCTCTTGATTCTGACGATCTTGCGAAAAAATAGGGGACTGTGATCAGTCTAATGAATGAATTTCATGACTTGGGACAATTAACAAGCCTCAGTTTTACCAGTGAGTGGGATTTGTCTCAACAAATTAGCTCCTTGAGGTAGAGGTAATGAGAAATGTACGTCTTGTGGTTGAAGTTGAAAGTATAGCATCTAAAACTCTAAAGTAATTGTGGTTTAAGTAAATAGTGCTGTCAATAGCAACTAACAGATAGTTTGTAATAAAGTATAGTGATCTTTGTTGAATTATACATAAGTCTCTTCAGGGAAGTATTAAATCTACCAACAACTGCTTCACGTTTTGTTTTGGATTGTTATACCTTTAAACATCTTACGCACTAAAATGTGCTTTTTTACCTGTTGTACTCGTCAAGTAGAAGGTAGAAGCAAATGCGCTGAAGCGAGGTTCATGTCTAGTTTGATTCGACGCTTCAGTTTGATATTTCAATGTAAAAATGGCATCACTACTTAGTTTTCGAATGTGGCGAGAAGGAAACAAACAAACAAAAAAATAACAGTGTCGAATTTCACTGAGTTTAGTTATTTTCCTGAAAGATTATCTGGGAAACAACCCATCGAACCTCATCCAATATCGTGGAAAGGCTTTAGAAGGAGGTGACCCTATTTTTTCGAACCCTGGATTACACCTGAGAAACACTAGAGAGCAGGGAATTTTATGAGTTTTGGCGATACCCAGTGTATTAAAAGTTAACTTTATCAACGACGACAACAGCTCAAACTATCGGTTGGATGACACCCTCGCCTCGTATGACCAGTACCTTACACATGCGCACAGCCATATCACGAAACAGCTGCCACTGTCCGGATGATATGGCTCTCTACATAGGAAAGATACTGGCCATACCGCGGAGTCGTGTCTGCTTCAGTGCTGAAATTGAACTTGAATTAAGACTTAGATTATTTCCCTTTTTACTGCAAATCTGACTTGCGGTGGCGGTCATCTATTTCGTGGTTCCAACGAGTTAGCCTACGGTAATTCCCTCTCCTTTCTTCTCTACCTCCTTCTTTTCTTTCTTTCTAGCTTCGCACTCATCCCACCCCCCCCCCCCCCCCCCCCCCCCCTCCATCTCGCTGCTCCTACGGCCACCTACACCGCCGTGACCAGTCCCACACCCCCTCTTCGA